TCTCCCTTTCTCGCTGCGTGTGTGTGAAACAAAGCAACGGCGAGTCGTGCGCCTTCTTCAAATACAGGTGCGCTGCGCTGCACATCCATTCAGATTAACTGAAAAACAGCACAGATCGCTTAGCGGAGAGTGAAACTCTGAAGTGCTCAGTCAGAGAGTGTTCGGCGAGTGAAAATATATCTGAGCTAAACTTATACTTAGCCTCCAACTCACACACTGGCGAGTAAAATCTGAGAATTTATTAGCAATTGGCTAATATTAGACATAATTTAGTCGCCAGAGTGAAGATTTAGTCGCATATGCGAGTGATTTACTCGCAATGTAGAGGGTTGCTCTTGTTATTTTATATTGTCTTAAAATCTCTGTTAAAAGGTATTTTTGTGTGTATGTTTATGCGACCTAACACACACAGCCCTGTGTAACCAGCTTCTAACCTCTAAATTACCAGAATAGACTAGAGTCATAACTCCTTGGCTTACTGGAAGCATCGAGTCTAGTTATTTGTGCTTGTGTTTTTACGTCTCAAATGTAGTCTCTAATTCTGCAGGTAAATAATAGATATCTCCTTCATAACATCACCTACTTCATAACTACTACAAAATCTTGTTTGCATTGCGTTTATCATACCGTTTGTATAGTAGAATAAGCTAAGGGAGAAGAAAACTAGAGATATCACTTCCAGGAGTGAAAGGAATATGATAGATGAGTGAGGGAGTGTGGTAAAGCAGAGAGCACATGCACAGCAGAGCCGGATAAACATAAGTTAGCCACACCCCCTTGAGGTCTCTCAGCCAATCACATCACACATTGCCTTATTAAGGGCAGCAGTGCTTGAGTGGTCCAGTAAGACAGAGAGATGGACATGTTTGCACGTGCATTTGCCGGTATTATAACACTGACTAGCATGGCTTGGCTTTTCTTAAAAACACAGCAGACTCATTTTTAGAGCTATTGCTAGAGCTATGATATTTGAGACCTTTGATCAATTTGGACTAATCATGAAATTGTCTTTTGATTTATTTGTATTATGCTGTACCTTTGCAATACAAATGAGATGACAAATGTACCATTTAAAGCAGGTCTGTTGTTATATAGCTAGCTATAAACATGTTAACATGCCCCGTCTGAGTTTTCCATGTTGTTTAGTGAGCCCCAAAGGACCTTTGGCCTCTCAGTGCTCCCTCTAGTGCACACTATGACAATGTCAACTTGTTACAATACTTTCAACACCTAGTTGTGGTGTTTTACTATGTTCTATTGGCATATGCCTGTGTGTTTCAATAAATGGGCTTGTTACATTCTGTGTGGTTGGTCTTTCATTCTGTCGGTCTGAAGGGATGTTCATGCTAACAGTGATTTGCAGCAACATAGTGGCCGGCAGTCTTTAATTTTTCAGTAAGAATTGGCAATTTGAGTCAGTGTGATCGATAGAGACCCTTTAAAAGTTAACTTTATGCATGAAAGAAAACGTTTTTCACATGATCAAGATGCAGCTGGATACAGCTGTCGACTGGGAATCAGTGTTATTGTATTTATATAAAGCTAAAATTAAGTGATTTTTTTTTAAATATTTTATTTTATTTTATCTTTTTCAATGACAGTATTTTTTATTTGTTTAGTTTTAGTAAACAATAACAACACTGGCAGAAATGTTAGCAAACAACAGTGTAGTGACTTGAAAGCTATAGTCAACAATTTTCAAAAATATTCAAAACATTTTGCCATTTAAAACTACCAGTCAATTTGATTGATTAGATTTTAATGTTAATATCACAAAAAGCAAGTATTGTAATGCATGTAATATGCCATATGTAATTACAGCATACCAGCATGGGGCTAACTGTTCAGTGCTAACCAGCTAAACCTTAACCTCTTTGGCAACACAGCAGAAGTAGAACCCAGAACTCTGTGCTCATAGCGGTTAGCATAAAAACTCAAAATTACATGGAAGATAGCTTTTAGCAGTCCTTTAGTGTGCATTATAAGAAGACACACTTTTCTTAATAACACAGCTTTAACAAAGATTCACATTTATTTGGCTTTTTTTTTTCTTCAGTAAAATGTTAAAGGCATGTCAGACCTAATTAAAGACTTTCATCTTTGCATCACCGAGTATTTGTGACTCCAGGATTGCTGACGCGTGTGTGTAAATGTAGGAGACCTCATGTCATAAGTCCAGGAATCCACCGTGCTCCCACAATCCACTTTTATCATCCAGACTAATTTCTGCCTGTAATCAGATTACTGCCTGTGAGCTGCCTTAGCACCTCTCTCTCTCTCTCTCTCTCTACCACCCTCCCATGTGTTTGCTTTAGCCCTCCAGTTTTGCCTCGGTGCATTTCCATCACGTTGAGTCCGTCCGTGGCGATCCCTCTCTCTCTCGCTCTCTTTCTTCATCTGTCTGAGCCTGTGATTAGGTCTGTCTGTCCTTTTCCTCTCTTTTCTCCGTTTTCCTCCGTTTTTTACTTTCCTTTTCATTCCAACATGTTCCATAACCCGTGGATTACTAACTATCTCAACCACGTCACTCAGTGTAGTCAAGGTAAGTCTTGAACTCTCTGTGCCTGGTTACTGTTACCAGACAGTGAGGTTGATTTATGAGGATTTGAGTAAAAGTGGTTGCCGGGTCATTGATTGAATAGTTCTTTTAATATGAAGGAACATGAAGTTGTTTGATGGCTTTGTTTAAATCAATTTAATATTGTGTGAAAAAAAATATTTTTAAATAGTCATACAAACCAGAAGTAACTCTTGTTCTGCTGAAGATTGATTGAAGAGGATGAAGATTGATTAATTGACCTGAAGAAGTCTGAATCCTTGTGGTGTGCTAAAGGTTGCTGTGAACTTCAGAAGTGATTAGTGATAGTCCTGCCAGACTAATTTGACCATTTTGAGATTGTCTGTATCAGCTGATGACTGTTGCCAAATGAATCGAAGTGGTGATTCTGAGTCAGTTCAGAAAATCTGTAGACAGTGTCAATGTCTCCTTGTCAATTGAGATTTGTGGATACAAAGTATGCATTATTATTATTATTATTATTATTATTTTTGGAAAACAGGAAATAATGTGTAAATGTAAAATGTAAATGTTCAGTTAAATTCAGAAATGTGTAATATTTATGATATCATATATTTTTGTATTAATATATAGTTGTACTGGCTGTCAGCCACCCTGTTATCGCAAAAACGGTATCGACATCAAGCATTGAGGGAAAAAAATAATTTCTTTTTTCAAATCAACATTTAACGCATACATTGATGTTGACTTTTTAACAATTGTTCATCAAAAGGTTAATTATGTACAAGCACAATTAAACAGAATATGAATGATTACACATATAATTGCACATGTATTCATATGCAAGCAGGGTTGCATTAATGCATTCTGTTTAAAATAAATTTTGTTCATTCTGTTCCATTATTGATTCCTGCACAAAATATATCACCATTTCCACAAAAACGTTTATAACATTGACAATGTTTAAATGTTCATAATAAATGTTTCTTGAGCAGCAAATTATCATATAATGATTTCTGAAGCATCATGTGACCCTGAAGACTGGAGTAAAGATTCTGAAAATTCATTTTTGCCATCACAGGAATAAATTAGGCCTATAAAACATGTGAAAACAGAAAAGTCATTTTAAATTGTAATAATATTTTACAATATTACTATTTTTACTGTATTGTTTTTTTTTTTTTTTCTCAAATAAATGCAGCCTCTGTGAGCATAAGAGCCTTTGACATCTTGCTCATCAGATAGTAGCAGCATCAACAGCAGCCATTGAAAAACTTATCGGTCAGTCACTGAACTTAAATCAGGTCTCATTGAAGTGGAACAGTAATAGTCTTTAGCATCTCAGTCTGTCTAAGACATTTTGTGTGTTTAATTTTGTGACCTCTAGCTAAGCCTTATCTCTCCATTCCAGCTGCCAAAGTTTCACAGTCGCAACTGATTTGATGTTGAATCTCTAGTGCCTGCAGCTGTCACACTGATTATACTGTCAGTTCATCATGAAATGACCCCAGACTCTGTGTGTCAACACTGTGTTAACGTGCTAATGGCAGGACGTGATAATTGCTGTTTTGCTGTCTACACAACAGATCATAAAATCCTTCACACAAACCTTGTGTGAAAGTGGTTTACTGGACGTCTGTCTTTCTGTGAGATGAACTACATGTGTTTTAAGTAGTGTGGACCCTTGAGCAGGGTCTATTTTTTACCCTGATCTCCCCAAATAGTATTTTTAGACAATGCCTTGTTCTTCTCGTCTCCTCGCCGCTAATTTGTGGCTGTCAGCTTCCTGACGTGATTCTCTGGCAACCCTGGGACGGAAACTCGTCCACCAGACTTGATTTAAGTTAATTAGGATGTCTTCACACCCACGTTGACGTTGTTCTTCTTAGCTTGTTCTTAAAGCGGTCCCTTCCCAGCCCAGGTGCTCCTTTTGGAGGGGTAAATTTATCAGGCAACCCACACTGGAGGATGTTAAACACAGTAACTCAAGCTGTTGTCTGTACAATATGATGGGTTTAAATGGACAAAACATGAAGTCAAGATGGAATGTGTTTAAATATTTTGTCATTGTTGGCAACAGGTTGCATATTTCTGGAGAAATATTCCATTAAAATTTTTGTCTAAGATAAATTTGTATTTTTCCTGAACTTGGGTTGCTTAACGTCACTGTAAGCAACATGAAATTACTTTTAAGTGCACAGAATTATTCAAGTTGAGCTGCCAAATTCAGTTTGTGCTGTTAAGGCCCATGCACACCAAGAACGAAATTGCGCCGATGGATAATAATGTTATGTTTATTATAAGCGCATGTTACAATTTTATTGTCTGCTGCTTTAAGTGCTCAAGCTCTTTAAACTTGGGTGGATTCTGATTATGAAAGTGGTTGCAATATTGTTTAATTACAGTGTCATTATCAGTGTTGTGAACTTTCCTTATTAAGCAATTAGAACGATATTTAAAACTTTATACAGTAAGTATTGTTGTAGTAATACTTCTTGTTGTGAACAGGCCTTTATGGTCCATTTTATTTTTTATGTCTTTTGGATAGATTTGCGGAATTGTGTTGTGAAAGACACCTAAGATTTTTGTCTTGTTTCTTTTCACAGGCTTTGTCGGTGAAGCTTCTGCTAAGCTCTACAGCCCTGCACTACTAAAGAAAAGAGCAGTAAGGTCAGAATCCATTCATCTCGCAATTTTAAAGGCTATTTTGTTTTGACCCAACTTTTTTCTTTGTTTTAAAGCTGATCCCATTAGGTAAATTAAATACTGAATTAATCCCTTTATGTTCTTTAATAGTTAGCACTAAATGCGGTTGATACGATGCTATTGAAAATCCTTAGATACTGTGTTGCTCTATGGACTTCAGGACACTGATTGTGTGTTGCGTCATGCACGTTTTGGGATAAATTAAAGGGTAGACATTTTGTTTACTTTGGTCAGAATTTGTGATTTAAGAATCAATAGTCCTGGCCAATGAAAAAGACTTTGCTCTAAGAGAAGGGGAGGTGTAGTTGGCTGTTATCATCACAGACCCAGAGTGTGTATGTGTGGGTGTATGTGTGTTATCTTTTGTTGTTTCCATTGGTTAAGCTGTTAAAAGAGAAGAATGTGCTTTTGGCATTTTAATGTGTACAAAATAAATCAAAACATCAGTCCTCCTGGAGTCCACAATATAGAACAAAAACATATTTTAGTCATGTAAACACATTTCAACCAGTGTTTAAAAAAATCTGAAGTCAGAAATCTAGTCAGAATGTGTATGTTTATTTACAGTATCAGAAAAATATAAGAATTATGTTAAATTTTATTTAAAATTAATTAGATTCTGATTGGTTGGTACGTTACAAGGGTTTTATTGAATGGTGATGAAGTAGTGTGAGGTTTGTTGACACAATATTACAGTAACATACCTTCACCACATTGTTTCTGGACACTTTTAAACTATTTGTATTTAAATTCATATTTAGTCATTTAGCAGATGCTTTTATCCAAAGCGACTTACAAATGAGGACAATAGAAGGAATCAGATCCAACAAAAGAGTAATAATATGTAAGTGCTGTGACAAGTCTTGGTTAGTCTAACACAGTACACGTAGCACATTTTTTATTTTTATTTTATAATAAAAAAACAGGTAGATTGAATAGAAAATAATCGTAATAGAGGGACAACATTTTTTTTTAAATGAATAAAAAAAGAAAACAAGTCGAAAGAATAGAAAAAGAATAGAGAACGCTAGTGTTAGGGTCATTTTTTTATAATAAATAAAAAGAAAACAAGTAGATATAGAGACTAGTTAACCATGGCTGGTTTCTAGCTCAATCAGTGGTGTTAAGAAGTATATACTGTGGAATAATTGACCTGGGCTCTTTACTATTATTATAAATTATAAAAAATTGAAAGCACAACAAGGATGTAATGACGGTTTAACTTTTGGTATGCATTAATGTTCAATAATTCAATTGTACAGAGTCAATTATTCCTCCTTACATCATTTCCATATCGGGCGTGTCTGAAAAAGTTTCTGTGAATGCAATCTAAACCTGTTTAAGCTCTCATTAGAGTTCTGCTGCCCTGCTTATGAGATCGTTGTGCATAGCAGCATGTGTAGTGAAGGGTGTGCTGTAAACAGGAGTAATTGGAGTGTGCTGTTTGGGCTGGCAGGACTGGTACCATGGTGAAGGGGAACTCTAGATGCATAAATAGCTTAGCAGCTAATCTATTCCTGTGGTGAGATTCAAGTAAACATTCAAGACTTTCAATGCTAATTCAGCTTAATGTGTCACACGGGAACATTGGTAAGGTTGCTCTTGACCTGCCAGTGTAGAATTTTGGAGGCACTCGGTGCCAAATCCGATTTTTCTAAGGTGTGCAGAGATTAGGTGTTGGAAAAGTCAACATAATGAATCAGTTTGGAGTTGTGGCCAAGCAGCTAGCGCGTATACTGTGATATGCCAAGTAGGACATGTTCCTGGGTCAACATCCTTGTTGATCCTAGAACAACATTGCTATTAATCAATCAATCAGATTTTAGGGTTAGGGTTACACTTACTGAAATTCCAGTCTCCTTTCAATAAGTGCCAGGAAGACCAAAATGAAATTAAACGTTTTATGTCTACTGACATTAACACATTTACTAAAGCTCTATTGTTTTGAATCATGAACTCTCTATCTCTGCCTTACAGCTTTGGTGTGGATGACAGGACATCACTGGTTAAGAGTACAACAGAAATTGATGCAAACATCCTAGCTGTACTGCCCAAAGGTGAGAAATGCTAAGATAACGTTGTGATTAAAAAGTTGAAGGACAATAATAATTATATTTTCCTTAAAGAAGTTGGATATTTACCAAATCGCTTGTCTTTTAGTTTCAGAGCTAAGGAAGCAATTTGAAACCTCTATCAAAAGTGGTCCAGAAATGAACAGGTACATTTGGTCTCGCAAAAGTCTTCTATGCATATTAAAATTAACATGGCATTCCTAAAGCTCAAACAGTTGAACATTGCACTAGCAATGCGAAGGTCATGGGTTAGATTCCCATGGAATGCATAAACCGTTAAAATGTATACCCTGAATGCAATGTAAAAATGCATTCAAAATGCATAAAAGTGGATGTAAAATGACCGAAAACGCATATAGTCAGTGTTGAGAAATGTTACATTTGAAAATGAAATGCTACATTTATAAGTAACTTATTTTACATCATTACTTTACAAAAAGCACTGTCACGGTTAGGCTCTCTGTCTTCCACTTGTCGAATTACCCCAGCACTGCATATAATGGCTTCCTATCATGCAGGAAAGAGAGAATTGCACGAAGGTTGGAGGGGATTGAGGCTGATGTTCCACCTGCTCTTACTACAAGCATGCAACACACAGCCGGCCTGGTGACCAACCGACTACTGGAGGAGGACACACCACGCTATACACGTGCTTCAGATCCCAGCGATCCAGGCATTGTGGGTAGGTCACACCACAGTTTATTTCTGTAAGTGTAACCAGTGTTGTCTGCGTTGTTTTTTTTTTTCCCAGTGAGTAACCAGTCGGACATCAGCTGACGGTTCGACTCTTCATTTACTGATAAAAGATAACAGTCTTAACATGGTGTGAATTCGCCCTTTTGTCTTTTCTCTCCCATGCACAGACAGTGCAGAGAAAATGGTATAAAACTTTCATACAAAATTAATTTAACAATGAGTGACAAAACAGCATACCTGATAAAACATAAAACAGTCTTTACAGTGTTTTCACCCTTCTTGTCTTTTCTGTTAAATGAATGTACCGTGCAACGCAATTAGCACGTGCATCGATGAGACATCAAAAACAACAACCTCAATTATAATGAAAACATGAAAATAATGAAACGTACATGAAAAATAGTTATAAAAATGATTTAAACAGAAAAACCAAGTATAAAAGTGATTTTTAAGCACGTGCATCGATGAGACATCAAAAACAACAACCTCAATTATAATGAAAACATGAAAATAATGAAACGTACATGAAAAATAGTTATAAATATGATTTAAACAGAAAAACCAAGTATAAAAGTGATTTTTAAAGCAAAGATGAAATTAGATTAATCAGAGCTCATTAGAAACCCACCTCTCCCACGCACAGGTCATTGTACTATAAAAACATCCTGTAAGTTTCAGAACTCAAAACTTTCTTGTTAGTCTAAAAACAGCTTGTATTGAAGCCAATCTGCTAAAACAACAGATTGTGGAATGTGCCAGTGTCGCTAAACGCCGCCTCCGCAGAAGAAAATCAACACCTGCTTCTACATCACTGCCTGTTTAGCCCCGCCCACCCATTTACACATGTAGTGGGTAAATAACGCAGGTCTGTGCAGAAATTAGAAATGGCTTGGAAGACATCAATATGCTGTGCAGTGCCAGGTTGTGGAAAAATAGTCTTTCCCATTGCCTTCCTTCTGGTCCCAACGTTAGGAAAGAGTGGATGCAGTTTATTTTTTATGAATTTCCAGATCGCATCAGTAAGAACTTGGTCCTCTGTTCACTTCATTTTCCCATGGATTCATTTACAAACAAGGTCCAAATTCAATGCAGGATTTTTAGAAACATTGAAACTAAAAGATAATGCTGCGATGAATATATTGGATTCGACAGTAATGTCACACCACACAAGTGTGAGTAACCGTTTTTACATAGTCACTATTGCTTTGTCTGTTATTACAGATCGTTTGATATGTACTGAGAATTTATGTGTTTTTAACCTAAATCACAACAGTGTCCATCTATGAGGAATGTATGCTGTCAAATATACACAAATGTTAGCCAATCATGCCAGTGGGTGTTTACTTCCGAGTCTACAATCCGTCACGCCTATTCAAACAGAGCGTTCAGATGAGGGGGTTAAAAACAGGACAGAAAATAGCATATTACTTCTAAATTATGATGTATTTTGATGTAAAAATAACATTATATAGATAACATTATAAGTGCACCTCAGAGAACAGTACAAAATGATAAAAAAGGCAGTTCATGACCCCTTTATACTTTGGTACGTAGGAAAAGAGGTGTGGTATTACTTTTATTAGTAATCTGACATCTGGTGGACAAAACAGCTGGAAAATAATGCCATAGACTTGCATTGAACAAGGGGCTCAGGTCATATCTTGAGCCCACAAAATTTTTGAATTTTCTTGGTCTCCTACTCACTCTCTATTTGTTACGTTACAGTGCGGCGCTACAGCCGTGATGAGATAGAAGCTCCAGAGCGGCAATCCAGAGCTCGGACATGTGCAGATCCACAGTTGTCCGCCCACCCTGAGCCAGTCGGTCCTACCCCAGCCGGTTCTGATGCAGCCAGCCTCAGCTCTAAAGCCGAGCGGATTGCGCGCTACAAAGCTGAACGTCGGCGACAATTATCAGAACGTTACGGAATCCTCCTCGACCAAGAGGTGGATCTGGATTACGCGCCACGCTACACACATACACGGAGAGAGTCTGACCTGTCGGACAAAGGGGCTCCTCCTGACAGGGGACGTGGTGAGAGCAGGACAAGGGGCGTGGCATTGCAAAAACAGGATGAGGGGCGGGACCGAAGCAGCAGCAGGTCTAAATACAGCAGTTCAGGAATAGGGCGAGTCTTCATGCCTTCTGACCCCACCCCCAATCCTGCTCCTCCTCCATCAGGCTTTGATGCTGAGCGAGAGAGAGAGAGGGCAATGAACTTGGAAAATTATAGACGAGCACCTGACCGAAGTACGAAACCACGCCCACAGGAAACTCCGGTTCCAATGGAAACAACAACAGCCCAACCAGCGAGGGGTGTCGCTGTTGTCACTGTAGCAAGTTCTCCTAGGACAGCACGCAGAGCTTCGTTGCCCACAACACGATATGGCATCTCTCCTGGAGACTTGTTCATCGAGCAACAAGCTCAAAATATCCTCAACAGACAGGGGTAAGTATGTGTGCTCAGTTCTGGATCTTAAAAATATATGTGTTAGAGGACCTTGATTTTGATTGATGTGTTATTTTCTTCCTGTGTTGGCATACTTCCTTTGAAAACACCATGTTGGTATGGGACTTGCTCTTTTTTAACCTTTATTTTAAAGGAATGATAGCGTACTGAAGGCCTCGAAGTTAACGGGTACATGGGTAGTTAATGGGTACGGGAATGAATGATTTGTACAAAGACTCATAAGAAAAGAAAATAGATTTTTATTCAGAAAATGAGAAACTCAGGATCTGAGCACTTGCCTACTTTGTGTAAATCATTCTATAAAACAAGAAAAAGCAACAGGGTTAACGATTCCCATAATTTATCTTCCAATAAAGTGGTGGACCTCTGCAAGGACTAGTGCTTTGTTTTTTTTTTGTTTTTTGCCTTACTCAGATAATGCTGAAGCTCTTAAACATACTCCTGGTAAAAATGCTGAATGGACCAGCTTTTGTGTTTAGTCAGGTTTACAGTCATGCCAGAGAGCTGGTGAGCTGGGGTGAAATATGTAGAACTGTTCACTGGACATCAGCAAGAATTTCACTCTGAAGCTCTGCTGAAAGATACTGCATTGCCCACTACACTCAAAGCTTAGTCTCCCCATAGCAGTGGATGAGAATTGCACATTATTTAGTATGACAGTAATTGGTTGTTTTCAGACATTCATAAAATGTATCTTGAGATAAGTAGAGAAGAGCAGTACATTTCTTCTGAAACACTGAGGGTCAGATTAGGTGTCTTGCATGTTGAGATTTATTGACCACGAGTTGTTTATGTCAATGTGATTGTTATTATATGAGACCCCTAATATTTTATAAAATGATAACTGTATAACTTTTATATCCAGATACAGGTGCATGTGTTCTATCTGAAGTGTTACATAACTTGACAACCCATGAGGAGAAAGATGTCCAAACTGATGAGATCATCATACTTAAATGAAGGCCTCTAAAGCTGGCCACACACTAGAGGATTTTAAGGCTGATTTTAAGACAGATTTGCACCCCCGAACGATCAGGGGGTGTTGGCCGATTCACGGCTTGTCGCAAGCATTTTTTATTTTTTTTTAAAATCCTCTATTGTGTGGTGTCATTACGATTATTTAACTGCTCCCGATTGAGACGGAGCATCCCCGAACTCAAATCGTAAATATCAAACAGGTTTGTTGTGACTCTTGATCTGGCTGCCTCTTACATGATACCCGCGATAGCCAATGAGAGCGAGCAAGCGTCACTTACCAGATGTTGCGTGCTTCTATTGCTGAAACTTGGCAGCCACAAAAATGCCACGAAAGCAGAATACATCACCCATATTCTTTTTTTATACTTTGTTTTTCACTGTGAAACCGAATGCGCGCTGGGAGAGCCAGCTGATTGCGATTGTCTTCCATTAGTTTTTCTTCTCTAGTCACGTTTGATCTCGTGTGTCTCCGTGAGATCTCGTGTCACTGTGAAATCGTTCCTACAGTCATGAAGCGTGTGGTCTCGCTGTCTGGTCGAATTGTCTAGTGTGCGCGTTCAGTGGATTATAAGGCTAAAAATCGGTTGAAACTCTCATGTCTGTGGTCTCCAATGGTTTTAAAATCGGTTAAGATTTGAAAATCGTCTGGTGTGCGGCCAGCTTTAGGCAGTAATGATGTCAGAGACTAATTGAGGAACCTTATATTAAAATGAATAACTATGCAAGAAAGAGGAAGCAATCAGGAAAAGTGGACAGATGTTTTACATTATTTGTGACATCACAATGGTCTCCATTTAGATGAGGACTAGTAAAGCCACAAGTGTGTTTTGTTATAGTGCTGAATGTCATGATGTTACTGTGATAACTAGGGTCTGGGCCTCTGTGTTCTTTAGCTTGGCAGCTCTCTCTCAGAGTGAGTGGTCCCTCAGGAGAGACACGGACCGTGAATCACACTCTCAAATCAACTGGCCATCCAGGTATCAGAGTGGGAGTGCAACCCTTTAAATTTCCCCAGTTGACCCGCTAACTCGATTTTCCAACACTTGACCTTATATCCTACGAAGTCCATGCACTCAAAAATACATTTGCACACTTTAGTTTTCATTATATTGACTTTCTCCATATACTGGCATCATAGATGTTGGCAAACATTTCCCTTGTTAATCTTCTTCATCCTTCCACTGTTTTTTTTAACCCTTGACCTTTGCCCCTCACCAGAGACCAGCTCCTAACAATGAGACTTTGCTTCATTCCTTTTCAATTTTTCACTTAAAAAACATGTAACAGGTGGGGCTTATTTGTGTGTCGTGGAGTCACTGCTGGCTGAGAGATTGCCAATAAATGGTTACAAGTAACCATAAATGGTTACCAAGGCACTATTGCGTTTTTATGTGTTTATATTAGTCTATCGAAAGGGTTGCAAATAACTGGACTTTGCTTTCCAGCTATTGAAGAACATATTTCTGAAAAGAGAATATGTTGGGTGTTTTTTTTTTTTATCCCCCTGAATGTTTAACATATTGATGTCAGGCAAAAGCTAGCTGTAGAATTTATCGAAACAGAAGGGGCTTTCGCACCAGAGGAACCTTTTCATAGTTCCCAGAAGTACTGGCGGAAGTACCCACTTTTTGGCATGTTTGCACTGCAGGAATTAGTAACCGTTTTAGTCTAGGAACTCTGTTTGGGTTCCATGCTCTTTCAGTCACATAAATTGTGTTTACATTCCATTTCTGTTATCACGAAACTTACATCACACAACAACAACAGCTCCGATCATGGCATCTTCTATTCACTGGTTGTTGATGTTTGTAAATGCTGCAAATAAAGATGTCGCTGTCGGCCGTTTCAGAGTTCCTACTGCCGGTGCGAATGCACCCAGGAAAACAGCCCAAGGGGGAAATAGGTTCTCTAGAAATCACCATGCTGGTTAGTTCCTAGAACTGAGGTCCTATAACTACGTGGTACGAAAGCCCTTATACTATTCTAAGATAAGGAGGTGGTTCTTATTCTTGATGTGTGGGACAAAAATTGTTTAATCTATCATCTCTAATACATTTTATGACACTTTCTCTCAGGATGATAGTAGGTCATGTTTTTTAATTGGATGAATGTTAATTCCTCTCTTTCCTCCCTTAATGAAGAATACGAGTAAGAGAGAGACAGACAATGGAGGACATCTCGGGAAGGGGTTCTGATTCAGGGCCAGATGCATCTTCTGTCAGACGTCATCCAACAGTTGCCCCTCCATATTTAGCTCCACGACCTCAATCTGCAAACCAACCGCGAACACGGAGCTCTGAACCCCCAATCCAACAACCTAATCAGGAGACCCGTCAACAAAGGGCACATAGTGCAGAGCGGCCGCGATTCCAGCGCACTCACAGTATGGACTCGCCTGCCTTTCAACATATAGTTTCAAGTGAAACTGGAAATCATCAGCGTGCCCAAAGTGCAGAGCCCCCAAACTATGAACAGAGTCCTGGTATACACCCTAGCACCATGGGTCGTCAGTCTGGATTTGGACAAATCAAGCAATCCCTAACAAAGAGAAATAGTCAAGGTGCTCAAGAACCATCACAAATGCACAGACCTTCACAACAACCACACCCAGCATACAAAGATCTCCAGCAGCCATTTCCTGGTCCCAGAGATGCCCCACCACCTGTACAAAAGTATCGGGCTATCCTTCAACCAGTGCCTTTAGATCGGGACACTCGCCAACCAGCTCAAGCACATGCACCTACTCAGAAGCCTCTACATGAACACACCTTGCATTCACGTCTGTCTCATGGACATTATGGTCACAGCCCTCTGCAGTATGGTTCAGTCCAGGCACTGCCTCCAGCATATGGACAAATTGTTTACTCAGCTCCTTCCCATACTTCTAGCCATCTATCTTCATCTTCAAATGCTCATGCAGCTCACCCTGTGCCTGGACCTTCACTTAGTAAGTCTGAGACAGTGGATCCCAAAGGACGATTGCCCATACCCAGTTTGGCACCTGCTGACAAAGAGGGTGAAGAGACTAGACGAAGGGCCAGTGCTGATCACATTCAGCCCATTCACAGAGAAGGTCGATCAGCATCCAGAGTGGATCCAGCTTCAGAAGGGTTACTTAAGAGCAGAAAAGCTGTGCTACCCTCAGAGATCCGCCGCAGGCAAAAGAGTGTGGATGATCCCATGCGTGGACAAACTGATGAAGGTTTGGAAGGTCAGAGAATCAGAAGGATCAGCCAGTCAGAGGAGATAGAGGAGCGAGGTGGAAGAAAGTTGTACAAGTTGGAAGAAAGGGAGGGGCCTAATGGAAAAGGAATTGCTCAGATAGAGGAGGGAACAATAGCAGGTGAAAAGGTAATTGGTCTACTAAAAGACCGAGAACAGCATGATGACCGAAGGACCAGTCAATCTGAAGAAAGAGAGGAAGATGGTGGCACAAAGAATAGTTGGAAAGGTAAAGATGTGGGACGTGGTATAAGGAAGATTGGTCAAAGAAAAGAAAACAAGCAAGTGGCTGGTATTAAAAAGGAGGAGGGTCAAGATAATTGGAGCACTCACCGGTTAGAGGGGATGGAACAAGGAGGTGTCAGGAAAGTTGACGAATTCAAAGAAAGAGAATGGGAAGTTGATCGAAGACAAGGCCACACTGTACAGTCTGTTGAACCACTGGTGCATGGTGATAAGAAAATCGGTCAAGAGGTAGAGGAGCAGAAAGAAGGCCAAAGGTTCCTGCAAAAAGAAGTGGCAGAAGGACATGGTAGAAGACGACGGATTAATCTGTCAGAGAATGAAGAAGGGCATGTCAGACGGAGAAGGATAAGCCGATCAGAAGATGATTGGGAGGAACGTAGGGTACGTAAAATTGGACAGTTGGATGCATGGGAAGTGCAAGGAGTGCATCGAATGGGCCAGCCAGATGATAATTTTGAAAGACCTGAGAAAGGAAAGCAGAGGTTAAACACACATCTACCTGAAGAAATAGACACAGCTTCCACACAGCTAACCAATCAACAGCATTTTCCACACCATAGGGTGGGGGATGTTGGAGGCTACTTGCAGAAAGGTTCCTTCCTCCCACAAGCGCAACATCGAGTGAGCCAGGATGCAGGTGACCTGAGGCCAAAGGTGCGAATCCGCTCCATGTCAGATATTGGAGTAACTCAACGGTCTGCTGCATTGAGAAGTCTGGAGCGTGCTGCCAGTCGAGAGTCTGCAATGGTGACAGGTACAGGGCTTCATACTAGAGAGCCGAGTGGTGTGGCCAATGGTGAAATGGGCACCTTGGACACAAGAGTTTCTGTGGCTAAGCTGAGACATTCCTACCTGGAGAATGCTTCTGGACACAAACCTGAGCTGTATGTAAACTGGCATGTCAGCATGCTAAATCAAAGTTTTATCAAAGATGATGATTAAATCCACTAACCTCCAAGTAATAATCCCAACAATTGGATGTGAAATTCTGCCTTTTTTAATCATATGAAATCACTTGTGTGCTGCTCATCATTTAAAGGTTTAATCTGTAATTGCTGAAAAATTGCCACTGGTCAATCTAATCTCCTCTAACCACAGTAAATGGGCATCAGGATGAGATTTTGTAGATTGGATGCCATGGTACGAACTGCTTGATCTTAACCGTGCCTTGACATTGCGTGAAGAAATTTGATTTTATCTTCATCAAATGCATGATTATCATTGCTAAATAAAATGTATTGTGTGATTTGTTGATTTTTTTTTGATTGATTTTATGCTGTATTGCTCCAAAATTTGGGGGAATTGGGATAACCCAGACTGACTTATCTAAACTAGCTTTGTTGCAGCGTTTTGTATTTAATAAATATCAAATTCAGTCTCAACTGTGGATCCCCTAAAGTGCCCCGAGATCTTTTTTGTGTGCACAAAAAAAGTTGTTTTTTTTACTTTTTCTGCAGATGTTTCTATTCTGCGAATGTTGCTTTAGAGGCTCGGTACTAAACAAATTCTGAAAAATGTGTTTCTTTTAAGACAATCTTTCCTGTCTAACAAAGGGAGTCTAAAGGAGACCAGGTTCCCATGGAGATCGATCCAGTTGTCAACAGTGACCGGGAGAGAGGAGCACGTCGGCCCAGACGTTACATTTCCCCTGGAGATGACAGGAAGTCATCTGAGAGGTTTAGAACCCAGCCAATCACATCAGCCGAAAGGCTGGAGTCTGATAGGTACAGTGAAACAGGAAGTCAGGTGTTGTACTAAAACTACTAATTTATTATCAGTAGTGGTAAATTGTCATTGTTTTATACTTGAGTATCCCTCAGTCTTTTAATAAATATACTTCTTATGTGAATTTGGATATAAAAAGGTTAAATTAGTATCTGAAATGTGCATTTGTTCTAGCTATGTAGTTAATTTTTCTTTTCTTTAGTCATCATACCATAACACTTGAATTCTCAGGGTCAGTTATTTTTTGTTCTTTTTGTACTTTTATCTTCAGGTCTCGTCTTAGTCCAGAGCTTCAATGTGCAGAATGCGAGTCAAAATGTAAGCAATATCAAACCAAATATCAGCAGCTGTGATTTGGCCATAGTCATTCTTTTACACAACCATTCTATAAACAGTGTATCCAGTAACTTACGTTTAACCCTCTTTTTTTGTCTAGTGGATGAAGAAAAAATGGATGAACGAGCTAAAATGAGCGTGGCAGCCAAGAGGTCTCTTTTCAGGGTACAAAATCTCTTTAGCATACACAACTTGTTATATGAAATCACATGAAACTAATGATTACAAAAACACATGTACAGAATATATATTATTTATAGCATAAAAGTGCCAATAAATTTGCATAATAACCAAACTTTTTTGACCTCTTGTCTTGCAGGAGCTGGAGAAGACTTCAGAGGGAGGTGTCCCCAAACCTCGATCACGCAATGCTGCGGTTGAGCGGAGACTCAGACGAGTGCAGGATCGTTCACGGACACAGCCGGTCACGACAGAGGAAGTTGTCATTGCTGCTACGTAAGTCATTTCCTACTTTTGGTTATGTAAAGGACCTAGTTTTCATATCATTAAATGAATCTCTTCACTACAATAAAAAAAAATGTTTGGCAAAAAGTGACAAATTCTGTGGACTTACCTTCATGTTGTTGTATTTTCCCTGGAACACAAAGACAATTCTGATGAAGGAAGAATTAACAAATAATGACTTGAAGTTTGTATTTTATTTTGTATGAATTAAGCTCACATGGTCTACTTTGGTAGAGTTTTTGGAGCTTGTGGTCATTAGGAACTTTGAATGTTTGTAAAAGAGCAGCATGAATTTTTTTCTTTTGTGTTTTTGGAAAACTTACTGCATATGGGGGGAAGAACAACATGAGGGAGAGTAATAGAATTTTCATTGTGGGTGAATTATTCCTTTAAGGGATAAACCCATCATTGTCTACTCACATTCCCATAATCACTTATTTGATGCTGAATTTTTTACATTGACCCTGATGTTTTGATGATTGCTTATACACCCCTACTTTTGCACTGATTCTTGTTTACTTCACTCTACATTACTTTTTTGTTTTTGTCCTTCTGTAAAGTTCCCCCGCTCCCCCTTCTCAAGTCATCATTATTCAAACCACTGCTCCCAGAATCCCTAGTCCTGCTGTAATCAGCACTTCCATGACTAGTTTCAGGTATCATTTGAATTATTTTGTGTATATATGAGGTTATAGGCCTTGTCGTCTTGGGCTGCATGCCGTTTCTTAATTTGTTCATTGCTTGACTTGAACTTTTTATGGAAACAGAACAGTGTGTTCTTTGACAGCATGATTGCATATTAATAGAGAATTCAGACCATACTTAGAAGAAGGAGACAAATTGCCCGGTTCATTCATTGACTGGCGCATTAGATTAATCAGGTCTCAAAATGTGCAAGTCTCTGTGGGAATCTTTGTGCCAGTCCGCCATCTGCTGGTGGATTGTACGTTCTGTTGTAAATTGTTGTTGGGAGTGTGAAAACGGAATGTCTGGCATGCAATTATGAGGTTATGCAGTTCCGTGATTTTGAAATGTGAGCAAGTGCCTGTGTGTATGAAAAAGTAAGAGTATTTTAATGTGTGTGAGCATGTGCAGATGTTTTGGGTGTCTACATTAGTGCGTGGTCACCCAGATTAGCTGTAAACAGTCACATGGTAAGTAGCAAAACACATTTGGCATTCTCTGTGCTTTGAAATGTCAGAGGTGTCACCCGTCTGTCAACAGTTTTATGAGAGTGACAGAGGGTGAGAGATTCACTTAAACTAGAAAGGCAAAGAGAGAGCAAATCAATGAAATTAAATTACAAGTACAAAAGCACAACACCAGTGCATGCGAGTCCTATGTCTTTTTAAAACTGAGAATGTGGACTGGAATATTGACCAGGGAGTGAGTTGAACTCTGTTTGTGTGTGTTTATTAGGGTGAAATTATCTGATTGAAACAACAGACTCTCACTGATTCAGTCTACTTATAACACGGTTATAATCTTATCTAAGTGCTCAATTTGACCATAATATGAGATCAGCAAGTTCTCTGTGTAAACACAAGTATAAAACATTTTTCAAAGTTTTTTTGTTCCTTTTTACCAGGAACCAATTTTGCACCTGTTGTCTTTCTAAGTTCTTGCCACTGACTGTACAATTAAAGAGTTAAACAAAGTTTGACACTTTTGCAAAATTTTTAATGCAGAAGTATCTAACATGTTACTCTCTTTATACAGCTATGTAGTATAATTACTTGTTTTTGTTTGTTTTAAAAGAAAAATATAACTATTATAAAAATATAAGTCATTTATGGACACAAAAGTCATCAGCTGACTGTATAAAATGTCATATTGCTCTCGCAGGTCTGATGACTGAATCTCAAAGACACAGACTTATATAAACAAATGAATAAACTGGATTACTTACTCACTGGAATACTTAATATAATTGTTTAAGTGTATTTTGTGAAGTTTTGTTAGCAGCCGGACTGGTCTTGGTCACTCTGAGTGCAGAAATGTATTATAGTATAACAACCTGTAATTCTCCTCTCAGTCTGCAGGCATCATCAGCACATGGATCGACCCACCATGAGCAGGAGAAAGAAGATGTTTCGAAGGAGGCGGTTCCGGGAGAAGAGGATTTGGGTCCCGAGGAGCCAGACTTATCAACACTAAGCCTTTATGAGAAGATGGCATTATTCAATCGCTTGTCACATCCCTCTGGCCAGTCAGCAAATGGACCCCGTCCTGACACACGCCAGCGTAGAGCCAACACCCGCTTTCAGACTCAACCAATCACCCAGGACGAGGTTGATCAGGTGAGGCCTCCCTCTTTTTACCTGTGTGCTAGTTCACTGTATTTAGAGACTATTATAATTTTTACATTTAAGTTTGGTGTCACTAGCGGTCTAGAAAATGTGCTCTTTACCTTAGGTAGACATTATTAAAGAGAGATCACTTAGAAGTTGTAGTTGACTCCAGAGACATTGTGCTATTCACAGGAACTTACAAAAGACGTAGATCCGTCCAGTCTCACAGATCAACCCGCTGTGACTAATGATTCTGTTGGTCCCCCTCAGAGCGAGCAAGTAAGACACTCTGGACTGAGGCTTTTGATTGGCTGGTCAGTGAGAGCTTTGCCTTGGCAGCAGCTGCTGATTGGTTAATTGCTGAGGCCCCAACAATGTTGCATTTCCAACTGGCTATTTGCAGCTGCTGAGTTGCATTATAACAGTTTCATTACTTTATTTTAAGAGACTGACCTGTTTAATTTATTATCTGAGTAACTGCATTTCACTGTGCCTGTGTTAAATTATTTAAGGGACAGTTTACCCCAAAATTAAAATTGCCATTTACTCATATTTTTCAAACTTTTGTTTTAATGAATGAGATGTTTGGCAGAATGTTTACGCTGATATGGAAAACATGGGCTGTAAGGCTCCAAAATTTAATATTTTCCTCACACAAGGCCATATGGCTTCAGATGATATGGAATATAGCAAAAAAGGAGTACACTTAACTGTATTGTACTTCAAATCTTAAAAGTATATTTTTGAAAAACTACTTGTAGATAATAATATTATTGAAATAAAAGGCCACTTAAGTGTACTTAAAGAGTACACGTTCATGACTAAAGTAAACCTTTTTTTGTAAAAAAAAAAAAAGTGCACTTTATAATAATGTCAAAGGTTCTCCTGCAAAAGTTGAAAAGTACATTTTAAATAATTGTTTTACTAATCTTTTCTCATGCTTTAAAGAAATTACATGCTGAAGCACGTGAAGTACTTGATTATAATTTGAACTGTAATGTTATTTGATGTTAAATTGATTAGTTTAAAATTTGAAGTTCAAATTTAAGTTCATTTAAATTGCAACTTCATCATTACAAATGTGTAATAACAAATATATTCAAATACACAACATACAAGTTTCAATAGAAATTACATTAAAGTATATTTTATAGTTTACCATAAATGCATACCAGTACATTCAGCACTGGTACACTTTAACCATTATTTCAAAGACAATATTTGTAATCATGAAATTATATATAAAGATGTGCTGAAGTTCTGTGTAAGTGGATCAAAAATACTCTCAAGTTCAACTAGCTTGAACAAAGCAGCCAGGACATTCTGCACAATAACTCCTTTTATATTCTACGTCGATTTTTAGAGGTTTGGAAAGAAATGATGACCAAACATAATTTTCTTGGTGAACTATTCCTTTAAATAGGCAATTCTGTGCTTGCTATGAGAGACCGTTTTTCTCAAGAGCGTGGGATTAGAATTGTGTTTTAAACAGACGATGATGATGATTAGTGGTGTAAAAAAAAATCAAGTTTGTTGCATGTCTGAGAAGTTTACCAATGAGGTTGTTTGGTATGCAAAGCACATCCGATCTCTGCAAGCTGCCTCTGAATCATGCATCCTGCATATGACCTCTGACCTCTCCGGGCTCTGTAAATGCGAACACGGTCTGAAAATATAATTATTCTTTCTATCTCTCCAGCTGCAAAATGGAAGCGTGAAGTTGGAGCCTCTCTCTGCATCACTGGTCCGCTCGGTTACCGCGGTCACCGCCCAGGCCTCTGTTGCCACGGTGATAAGTGCTTCCCCATCAATGACCGCAGATGTTCGCATGGGGATCTCTGCAGCTCCACCCACCACTCAGGCCTCACCCAATCAGGCGGTCTCTGCTCCGTTTCCGTCCTATGAGAGAGGAGTTCGATACTTCAGTCTTACAGAGAGTGGGGAAAGACCCACACCTGATGTTCAGTCCCCGCGCCCCGCAGAGCTGCCCGGCCAATCGGCGTACAGCAAGGGTGTGGCCGACGAGAGTGGGTGGAGGGGAAGACTAGGGTATTTAAGCAGAGAGGAGAGAGACACAGAGCTCCCCAGTGCGACTTCCCCGCCGCACACACATGCGCTCAGACACACACCCCCTCACGGCAGGGGAGACGCAGAGCTGAGTGGCCCACGGGAGAGGGAGAAAGAGGGTACACCCATCTCGCAGGGAGGCTACCTCTCACCAGATGCCCATCAGACGGCAAGAGGAAGCGGTACCAGAGCCATCGTCTCAGGTAAGGATAAATAGAACGAAAAAGAAAATGGGTTTAGATGCTGTGCAAACCAATCAGCTGTGTCTATTGTCTCTGTGCACGCAATCACACACATGCTGCACTGATTGGGTTAACTGGGTTAACCGGCCTCCAGCCTACATGCTGCTCGAGTCGAATGTGATTAGCATAATTTATCATACATCAAGCATGCGGCTCTCTTTGTCACGCAAAACTAAGTGGCAAGTGGCTCCGTGGCTTTTGTTTGCGTTCCCCGCCAAAGCTGTTACTATCCATTTGCCTGGAAGCAATAGGCGTGTGTGTGAATTGTTTCGTAGTAAAGAGGGAAATGAATGAAAGACGGGAGCGGTAAGACGGCTGGAAGTGTGTCTCAGCGCACACTGATACAGACATGCTGTCAGCCTACAGGAAAAAAACACAGTGGGTTATTAGGTTCACGTTTGCCACATGTTAAAGGACAGCCATGATAGCAGAATGCGACAGTGGCTTTCATAGGATAAAGGGTGTTTTTAACATTGTGCATGTGTGTGTTTTGTTGTGGCAGTGGTGCTTTAGGCTGCTGTCTGTTCATGTGTGTCAGATATTGATTGAGCTCTGTGATAAACGCGACTCTGTGTGTGTGTAAGCAGATGGTGTAATGCATTTCTAGATTTTTATGATTTATTTTCTTTATCTGCTGCATTGAATAGCTGTGGCTACACACATATTTGTCTATTATTAACTGGATGGATTGATGCAAATATTTGAATGGTATATTAGCGTTGAGCCGTTTTTGATTTCATCTGATTTAATTAATACTGATATAATGCCTCTGCTTATAGTCTCATGAATCTAGTCTATTTTGTCATATCCAGTTCATAATTCCACCCCCCACCCCCTCAAAAAAACCCAAAACAAAAAGATTTATTTTATTTTTTCTAATTGTCATGAATGTAATACTCTTTTTTTCAAAGATGATTTTCATTGGATATTGAAATGTATATGTATTTTTTACTGTATTAACACAATATAATATTACAAAATATTGATGTAAAAAAATTTTTTTATTATTGTTATTTATAATAATAATAATAATTCTGTCAAGGATGTTATGTGCAAATTCATAATTTCACCTCCTTTATTTTATTTTATTTGAGTAATGATTCTCATTAGATTCTCAAACCTATAAAGCATTTACTGTATTAAAGTACAAAATATTGAAGTACAATTTTTTTATTGAAGTAAATCAGTATAAAATCAGCTTAGTTTAAAAATAATTAATGCCATTGCATTGAAAGGTAGTAAAACAAATACTACCATGATGTAAAACAAAATACATTCTAATGTAAAATTAAAATTATTTCTTTTGCATTACATTAATGGAGATTTAGTGGGTGTTCAATTAAAATTCACAAAAATATTTAATACAATACAAGCAAATCTTAAAACTCCTAAAAAAAAAAAAAAAATGCTTATATTTTGCATTGAGACTTTTTTTTTCTTTTTGTGGAGAAATGGACATGTTTCTGACAGCTTTTGTGGGATTTACCCTGTAAGTCTCTTTGTATGTGTATTTGCTCTCATGCTGGATCTCAATGTGTTTCTCCAGGTGTCTCTGATCCCAGCGTTCCCGTGAGGACGGTGAACACAGCTGCGGTCTCCTCCAGAAGTTCTTCACACACCTCAAACACTCTCACTTACCTCCAACAAGCCCAGTCCTACACGCCTCCGCAGCCTCAACCAAAACCAGCGCAGCACCCTCAAATCGACACACCAACCCACGCTAGACCTCAAACACAACCCTACAGCCCGCCGACACCACCACAGACACAGGCCAAACCACAAACACACCGCATTTCTGACTCTCAGCCTCACATCCACATTGACTCTCAGGCTCCTCCATGGCAAACCCAGCTGTTCCCTGAACCCCAGCGGCAGGTGCAACCCAGGGTCCCGCCGCAGACGCAGCCCAAACCGCAATCCTTCCTTCCACCTCAGTCACATGCCTACATTCCCCCTCAACCCAAGATACCCCCTCAAACCCAGCCCAAACCCCAGTGCTTCATACCACCTCCAACACAGCCCCAAGAAGAGATCCTGGGAAAATACGGCCCCTCTGGACTCGTCGTCTCCAAAGACCAAAAGCCAGAGATCCACGAAGATCCAGAGGCCATGACATCTATGTCAATCAAAGAAAGGTGTGTGCTGGTTACTTCACTTTTACGTTGTAAGTCAGCATACATACAGTATGCAAATCCTATGTATAGTAATTCACACAAAATATGGCATATTAGCATAGGAGTCAAATTTTGGAAGTAAAAATCCTATTTTTCACTATAAAAAATAATTTTTTAATTAAGTAATAAACCTTTCAGAATGATTGTCCAGGGCTCAACAGTAGTCTTTATGTATTTTTATTTACCCTAACAAACTTGTCTCTGGCTACAAAGTAACATACTGTATATTTTGTTACTAACATATAATTTTAAGAAATAAAATGAAAGAGTATAAATAAATACACTATCATTCAAAAGTTTGGGGTCAGTAAGATTTCTAAATGTTTTGAAAGATATTTCAAGGCTGCATTTATTTGATCAAAACATACTGTAAAAACAGTAATTTTGTGAAATATTGTTACAATTTAAAATGGCTGTTTTCTATGTAAATATATTTTAAAATATAATTTATTCCTGAGATGCAGCGCTGAATTTTACTCCAGTCTTCAGTGTCATGTGATCATTCAGAAATCATTTTAATATGCCGATTTGCTTCTCAATAATAATTTCTTATTACTATCAATGTTGAAAACAGTTCTAAACCTTTTTTTTTTATGGGAACAAAATGTGGGATACATTTTGTATGATACTTTGATGAATAGAAAGTTCAAAAGAAAAATGTCATTTCTTGAAAATTTTTTAAGCTAGAAATCTAGATTTTTATGTGTCAGGATGAGTATATGAAAGGTATGGCTGATGGACAGCATGTTAAAAGCACGCTTATGTCATATTGCAGTGTAAGAAACAATGGAACATGTATTGGAGTGTGCTGATGGCTTTAGATGCTGCAGGTTGACTGGAGCTGTTCTCCTTCTGTCTTGTCTTATAAATGAAATTGGGTCATCTCTGCTCTCGGTGAGCGCTGATAATGCGGACAGCACTATTTTAGATCTCCCAGCCTTCCCCACAGAGCAGGATGAAATGAGTACAGACAGAGAGATAGAGACAATAAACCATGACAAAGTCACATGAGAAAGCTGAATTGTGAAGAATTTTGTATGCTGTAGTATTACAGTACTTTTAGTTTTCTGCATGAGTTTCACATCTACAGTGTAAACGTCTGTTCAAAATGGAGTGCAGCGTTTGATGATTCCCTTTCTCAGGTTAGCCATGTTGAAGAAGAGTGGAGAGGAAGATTGGAAAAACAGGATCAACAAGAAACAGGAAGTTAAACAGGAAGTGGTGTCTGTAAGCGAGAAGAGTAGTCAAATAATGGAGGAGCAAGGCTTTACAAAAAAGGTAAGTATCTATAGCCTAGCAACATCAAATCTGGAAATGCATCACAGGGGTTACCAGGCAAAATGAATGAATTTCTTTTATAATGCATTATATATAAAGGCTTTAAGTAAAGTGTTCCCACAATGTGTCCCCACCAGCTAGCCACTATTATAATAGTTTCTACATGTCTGGGTGCGAGTAATAATCAGTGTGATGTCTATAAATAGACAGTGGTGTCTATGATGTGAAACACTAATATAGTGTTGTAATTTTCTTACCATAAATCACTTTTTACATTCATATGAAATAATACTACTCTGTAACTGCAGTTTTCATATTGTCATTGTTTTTCATATAATTATATTCAGGGGTGTAAAAAGTACCGAGAAATTTTACTTAGGTACAGAAAAATAGTACATAGTCAAAAAAAAAATAACAACAAAAAAGCTTTCTTAGCTTTTCTAAATTGACTTTCAAAAACAGTAGAGATTTCCCCTTGTAGTATTTTTAATGCAATTTTATTTAAAGAAAACTGTTAAAAATCACTGTTTTCTTGTTGTTTGGTTTCTCATTGATAGTGGGGAAAATATATTTATTTTAATAAAAAAGAAAATATAAAAGAAAATGTAAAGTTATGTGAGCATGAACTACTGGCTTGTGACAAGAAATAATTTTTTCATTGAGGAAAGATTTAAGTCCTGATGACTTGTGTTTTGTACTTTTAAGTCTGCATGAAATTTTATACGAGTAAAAATATTCAGTTTTAACAGTACTGTTGTAAAGGTCAAATTCTCCAAAATAATACTTTAGTAGTAAACTATTACTCAAATACTTTAAATCTCTGATGACATTTAATGGTGACTGGTGCTATCAAGCTGTGAAATTAAAAAAAGCACATAAATGTTTCATTCAATTCTTTACACTGTATAGAGTGACGTAAGAATGACTCGTGAATACAACATCTCTAATGGTGCCATAAGGACTTGAAATGGATATTCTTAGATATTCTTTTAAAAGTCGTCCTTTGTGTTCCTTGGAAGAAAGTAAAGTGCTTAAGGTGAGTAAATGAGGGGAATTTTCATTTTTGGTGAACTGTTCCCAATCAAAACCGTGAATCGGATGTGTTATACTAATTTGTGAATAGTAACCGCTTCATGTACTCCTGTAGGCAAAGCTGTGAATTGACTTCCTAGACCTGAAACCTATACTTTACACAGTCTGAGTCATTTCACAGCGTGGTCTAGTAAAATGCGTGGTATTCATCTTTTCAGACGCCGTGTAATTTTCAGTGTTCACTGAGTTTTATATAGAAACCTTGTGCGTTCCTGAGTTACTGTTACTCTCAATTCAGCAAGTGCAAAGGTTAAAGGAATGAAGGGTTTTCAGTTTATCCTAAATTGAAAGGCCAGGCCTTGCACACCAAATGGGTATCATGTAGCATTTTTCCAGTTTTAGCTCTTTGTACCTCACACACACACACACACACACATCTCCTGTGTGTTTAGGACGAGACCGTTATCAGAGAGTTTGCATCATCTGAGCAGCTCTGGGTAAGCGCCTACATCAGTGTCTGTCTTAGACAAGTTTGGCTTTAGCTGCAAGATGACTGGCTGGCCTGCTACTGCAAACTGCAATTTGATTGGCTTTTTCTTAAAGGACTGACACGCTGCTTGCCTTATCTTCTAGATTAACCTCATTTTATAGCTCACTGTAAAATATTTTAGAGTACAGTAAGGTTTAATTTAGCGTAACACTTGCACAGCATTTAAAATTTTTGATAATTTCGACATTTGCATACATTTTTAAAAGTAAAAGTTGTTAACAGTTACTGTAGTTAGTGCACTAACATGAACAATTTTTGTAAAATTATAAAAATAATAGTATTTTTATTAACTATCTTTTACAAAGAATAAGTGTAAAAAATACATGCTGATTATTAGTTTATGTTAGCTAAATTAACTAATGTTAACAAATAAGGTGGCTATAGCAAGTTAATATTTGCATTTCTCTAAAACTGGACTGCTGTTGGAATGTTTAGGAACATGCTGTAATAAATTCACTTAACATTTTAGATGAAGCACCTTGCTTTTCTAGATGGACCAGATCTGTGCTTCTCAACTGATGGGTCACATCTCAAAAATAGGTGACTGGTCTGTTCTGATATCATTATGGTCAGCAGAAACGAATGTAAAATGTGATTAATAAAATATAACTAACCAAGGACATGAAACCTTTATGATGTATAGAAATCAAAAAGGTCAGTTTATGCTATCAGCTTATAGCATGTTAACATATTTGAGTCTTGGCCGTTCATAATAATATTGTTAGATTTAAATTTTTGTACAATAACCTGTTTTGGTGCTGTGTTAGTTGTCACTTGATATCCAATGCAAAATACTGAAAATCTTGCCTGAAGTAAAACCAGTTGAGAACCACTGGTCCAGATTTTTCTTTTGCCTTTTTCCTTCATTCATTCTCTGACCTCTGTGAATTATATTCTTCTTCCGTTCATATCTACACCCTGTAATCATTGTCTGTCATTCTTTCATTCACTGTTTTCTTCTATCTACTTCCTGTTTCCCCCTTCTCCTGTCTGTAGGAGCCTGTCTTTTCTTCCACCTACTCTCCTCCTCCTCTCCCATCTACCCCAAAATGCCAATATGTAGGACAACAAGGCCAGGTAAGAGGGAGCGTGTGCATTTTGGAACCATTTCATTTCTAACAGAACTCTACGAAAGGTATGAATTTCCTCTTTGTTTGTCTGTTCCATCCTTGTGCCACCAGATAATCTGTATTAGTCTAGAATGTTCTGAACATTAGGTTTTGTCAGATGAGATAGGAGTTGCTTTTTTCTTGTTGATTTGAATCTAGTTCATGATTATTTATGTGTGCATGTATTTAAGTATGTATGAAAACAAATGGCTGAACTACTCGGACAATATTGCTGTAACAAGTTATGCTAAGAGTCTAAAAGACTAATACATAAATACATATCTATGCTTTAATACACCAAGTAAAAATGTTCTGGTTTGATTTAGTTTATAATAGACTCTTATTATTAGTTTGCATAATTTATGCCTCGGTTCACTGTGGATGATAGTAGAAAACACAAATTTCTCTGACGAAAACAGGCAGCACAGCCAAATTTCTGTAGATTTATTCAGGGCAAATGCATTCATTAAATGAGCGTTGGTGGCATAAAAGCGTAAATCTAATTTAGATGGAAATGCAGAGCACTTTGAGTAAGGATTACTGCATTTTTGGCTTTTGCTGTTGACTGGCAGATTTCAGTACTGTATGAACAGCAAAGAGGATAGTCATATTCTAATGTTTTAAAAGCACTTTTGACATGGGCCGTACAATTTGAGTTTGCTCGTGTGAATTATCTGTCCATTATGTCTAAGTCGTTGGTCTTTCCTTCCTGTAAACATATCAGAATGATCTATAACCATCATATCTGTTTTGTCTCATGTAATCAGAAGCTTAAAGAGGGGGAGGGGCAGATGTCCATCGAAGAAAGGAAGCAGATGATCTCGACGCAGGAGGAGGCGTGGCAGAGCACAGGGAGGGGCGTGGCCAATGACTCCGGCCAGTACACTGTGGCTGCCAGGATGGTGAAAAAAGGTTAGGATGTGCAAACATACATGTCAGGGTTATTATCCTTAACTGTGTAAAAGCTTTTGCTAAATTTTCATTAGTTTAAGAAAAAATTATTGGACAAATCTGAGATTAAAATACTTTTTTTGGCTTCAAAACGAACGAAAAATAAAATCCTGTAAAAATGCTCTCAAAATAGTAACACTAAAAAAAATTATACGTATTGAAGAATTAAAAAATAAAATAAAACATTTTAAGTGAAACTAACTTAAATTGAAATGAAAAATGAACAATAAAAATAGTTAAAAATAAAAACTGTATATAAAGAAATTATATAAACGTCTACTTAGATACTCAAAGACGAGACGCCCAATTTGGTGTCTGCAGCAAATTAAATTTACAAAAGTGATTTTATATACATAGAAAGCATATTAAATGCAAGTTAAGTGTCTACTTGATGTTTCAAATAACTTTTGTAAAATGAAATATCAAAATATGGGTGAAATAATGTTCCATCATCATTCAGCGTAGCAGATATAGTAATGTAAAAATGAAACAACATACTTTGTCCTGTACTTATTAAAATATATAAAAGAAAAAGCAATCATACTAAATTGTATTATATTTTAAATTATTAAAAGAATTTTGCTGACAAATGGATAAAACCAAGTGGTTTGAAGGATAGTGGCAAAGATAAATATTTAAAATGACAATTAATTAGTTTTGGGGGGCTGAACGATGATCGTTAAATAGAGTCTAAGATGATTCTTGTTCTAAATATACCTGACAAGATTTTTGCTATATAAGCTATTGTTACACTGAATGACATTTGTGACCCTGGACAATTTTTCAAAATTGAGATTTATACATCTGAAAGCTGAATAAATAAGCTCTCCATTGATGTATGGTTTGTTAGGATAGGACAATATTTGGCTGAGATACAACTATTTGAAAATCTGGAATCTGAGGGTTCAAAAAAATCAAAATATTGAGAAAATCACCTTTAAAGTTATCTAAATGAAGTTCTTAGCAATGCATATCACTAATCAAAAATTAAGTTTTGATATATTTACGGTAGGAAATTTACAAAATATCTCCATGGAACATGATCTTTACTTAATATCCTAATGATTTTTGGCATAAAAGAAAAATCTATAATTTTGACCCATACAATGTATTTTTGGCTATTGCTACAAATATACCCCCGTGACTTAAGACTTTTTTTTTTTTTTCTTTTTTGTGGTCCAGGGTCACATTTTACTGGCTGCTTTCTCTAAATCATGGTACAAATGTATAATAGTCATTATTTTTTAATCAGCCGAATCAAATGTTTGTTAAACTTTTATTCAATTTATATATACATTTAATTTAGCTTTTTTTATTTTTTTACGTAGAACAGCATTACATAGGTAGCATACTTATTTTCTGTCTGTCTCTTACCTGACAGGTCTGGCTGCTTCCTCTGCAGTGATCAGCCCTATTCTGTCTCCAGTCTCTGCTAAACTAAAGAGCAGTGTGCCAGCTATCTCGAAACCACAGGAAGGTACATTCGACAAACACACACTTCATGAAAGAAGATATTCCTCTTTGGAAGACACAACGTTTGAGAAAGTTTGTTGTTGCACCATAATAACTGGGGCAAAAACCTGATGTGCTGCAGAAATTGAGGCCAGAGCAGAGATGGAATCTGATAAGAAGCTGGAAAAGCTGGAGACGTTTTTAGGGCGTTTGAACAGTAAAGGTGAGTTGATTGATGCAAAATCTCTTCACTTTTTTTTTTTTAGAAGAGGATGCTATGAGCCCATTGTAGAGGTAAAAGTAGAAATCATAATTGCATCATTTGGTGTCAAATTCTTTGAAAAATGAAGCTGTTTTCATTTGCTGTCACAGTTGTATTTGTTGACCTGATAATGAAGCTTTTATTTAAACCATCATGACTTGAAAAATTTCCATTGGCATTTCTTTCTATTGCACTGCCATCTCAATCCCTTCCTTCCTCTCAGTATCAGGTTTGCAGGAGACGACTTTGACGGTGACAGAAAAAGCCGTGAAGGAAGTGATGCGACTGGATGATGAGATCTTTTCAAAATTTTACTGCCACATGACAGATATTCCCCGCAGCAGGATGCATCTGGATGAGGACTTTGATGCCATCTTCGGAAAACAAACTCCAACGTAAGATTTTAAGTTTCCGTAATATATGTACAACCATTTATTTTTAGATTTAAAAATATTTAAATTATTTTTTTTATTTTATATATTTTTTTGTATTTATTTATTTAAAGTTTTTTTTTATACGCCATATTGTAGTTTTTCGGTTTCATTTATCTTTAATGCAACGTTTGGCTACTTATTGCACTTTCTCTGACTTTTGGCCTCTCTTTGGCTACTAGCTTGACATCGGCGATGGTGCAGCACAAGCGGGCCGTTCGTCCCTCCCGTAATGTCCAGGCCTCCAGGAACCCCTTAAAGATTCTCGCTGCAAGAGAAGACATACGACAGGAGTACACTGAGGAGAGACTGAACATCGGTCAGCTAGAAACCAAGAGAATTAAACAGGAGAAAAGTGAGTAGACGATGCAATGAATGGAAATGTGCTTCAGTTCACTGTTAAAGGTGCCATAGAATGCATTGATACAATATTTTAAATTGTTCTCTGATGTCCCCAGAGTGTGTATGTGAAGTTTTATCTCAAAATACCCCACAGATAAGTTTTTATAGCTTGTTGAAATGGCCACTTTCAGGGTATGAGCCAAAACGCGCAGTTTTTTGTGTTTGTCCCCTTTAAATGAAAATGAGCTGGTGCTCCCGCCTCCCTTTTCAGAAGAGTGCGGCGCTTCAAGAGCTCATGCACGCGGGCATACCAGTGTTACGGTTTAACTGGTGGTGACCGTGTTACTGACCTCACATTGCTTCCAAATGCAATTTTTAACTACCACATTCCTATTTACGATCGTTCTGGTAGCATGTGAAGGCAGCATGAGTGAAAACAGGCAGAGACAATAGTAGCTTTAGCAACATTAGCCTTACAGAGAGCCAAGAAGCTCTTTTGGAAAACAAAATATGACGTGTGATGCTTACTTTGTCTGGATGCAATTTTTAACTACCACATTCCTATTTACTTTCATTCTGGTAGCACAGTCTGGTAAAATGATTAGCACAAACATATATGACTTTTCTGTTTTTTTGTTGTTGTTTTTTTTCTGGGACATTTCCTTCGAAAATGAAATTTAACCACCGTGTCCTCAGCGGTCTATGGAGACTCCAGTGTTCGTTGGTGCATCCCAACACAATACACTTTTAATGGCTCTTTGGCGCTGACATTGTACCTCTAGCAGCTACTGCAAGAAAACAGTAATGGCGGACTGCTGCTTCTCACTCAGTGCTGTGTATATGCTAATAGGGCAGAGAGCGTCACAAATGGGTGGGACTTTCCCCCGAGTATGACGTCATAGTAGTAAGAAATCTGGAACTGCTAGTGTGGAGAGACTGTTTGATTTATTGGGATTATAAAACAATGAGTGGGTGGATTTTTACCATTATAGGCTGGTTGTTTTCACACACTGCGGCCACACAACTGTGTTCAAACACCTTATAAAAGTGATTTTTGCATTCTGTGGCACCTTTAACTAAAAATATTTTCAGTAATTGAAATAAAGCTAAAAATAATATACAAATATTAGATGAAAAACTAAAATATCTGAATTTTTTTCCCTTGATAAATGACTGAAAAAAGTTCGGCTTGAAGTATTAAAATTGCTAAAACTAAAATTGAAATAAAAATAAAATGAATCTAAATAAAAATATTAAAATAATAAAAAAGTCGATGGAACTCTCAACTTCTCGTATACATGGCTCTAATGTGAAAACTGTAAATTTATGGCATTCAGCTTCTAATGTTGTCAGCTTTTCTAAAATCTTTGTAAATTATTTTATTGCTATTTATTTATCTATTATTTATTTATTTATTTATTTATTTTTATTATTACTATTTATTTATTTATTATATATACATATTTTTATTTTATGATTATTATGATTATTATTTTAATTATTATTTATTTATTTATTTTTTAATTCTACCAGGGTTGGGATGGGTTGGGATGGGTTCTAAATTTGCACAGTTGCTGTTTGTTTTATATTACTATTCCCAGAAGAAATTCAATAAACAGTTGTTAACAAAAAAAATAAATAAAATTAATCTTAAACAAAAATTTAAATGAAACGTATAATTATTAAAAATATGAAGTACTATAATAATATATAATGCTAATATAAATAATAGTAATAGTGCTAATATAAATTTAATAGTAGTATATAAATAATACTAAAATAATATTGCTTCATGTATACCTATTTTTTTTATTAAGAACAACATATAAACAATGAAGGAAAGAAAAGGGAAAAAGTGAAATGGATGTTTAACTAATCAAAACACATTTTTTTATACAAAAAATGAAAACAATTTGAGTTAGAAATCATTTATAAATACTGCTGTTCAGCAAGCAGAACATAAAAAAAATTGTTTCTGCTTTGAAAATTTGCATTTACATGAATAAAATTTTGCTAACTAAATAAGAAGATTAAAATATACGTAATTTTCTGTTGTAATAATGTTGTTTTTAACGTGTTTTCCAGTGAGCAAGAGCTCCAGTTTGTCGGATGCAGCTCTGGCTGGTTTGGCCAGTAAAGAGAGCTACAGCAGCGTGAGTCTGCGCAGTGTCAGCGTCTCAGAGCAGATGACCAATAACAGCGCAGCGCCCTACAAAAAACTCATGCTCATGCAGGTCAAAGGTCAGTCTGTAGTACTCTAACACTGTCTCCAAACCAGGCATGATGTGAAGATGTGATCCGTGGAATTTTTTTTTCTTTCTGTCACATAAAGCTGGAAAGCCCCGCCCACAGTGAAATCCTAAGTCCAAACATCAAATGGGTTCTGATCAGCTTTCTGTGAAAACAGAAAAATTATTTAACTAGCATTAAGCCTGGCATACAGTGTAATACCCACAGAAGGCACAAAATATGATATAAATAGTAATATTGTGATATTTTACTGCAGCATGTGCGGTATGTGTTTTAGTGGCTGAGTGTGTTAAACTATGTGCATAAATGTTCTCCAGGTCGACGTCATGTCCAGACCAGACTAGTGGAGCCTAGAGTGTCCTCTCTGAACAGCGGTGACTGTTTTCTACTGGTTACGCCTGAGCATTGCTTTGTTTGGATCGGAGAGTTTGCAAATGTCATTGAAAGAGCCAAGGTACCATCTGACTTCTTATGCACACTATTCTTCATATCATCATATAGCTTTGTACTTCACTGCTATGTTGTTCCATTTGACATCCAGGCATCAGAACTGGCCACTTTCATCCAGCTAAACCATGACCTTGGTTGTCGAGCTGCACTGGTAGAGACGATCGAAGAAGGAGTGAATGCTCAAAGCCCTGCAGCTGCTGAGTTCTGGAAGATCCTGGGAGGACCAGCCAACTACCACTGTATGTACCCTGAAATAGATAGCGTTTATGTGCTATTATCTTACTTGAAATGAATAATATTTTTCTATGTGTGTGTGTGTGTGTAATGATCACAGCGGCCGGGTCTCCAGACGAGGATGAGATGTTTGAAAGTGCCATTGTGGAGACAAACTGTATCTTCCGTCTTGTGGACGATAAACTGCTTCCTGATGATGATTTCTGGGGGAAAGTGCCTCATAGTTCACTTTTGGGCTCTAAAGAGGTCATATTTTGTGACTTTTTGAGGTTTTAGATATTGTGCTAATATCTTCATGCATTATTTCATGTTTTCATTAAATGTGAAACATTTTAGCATTCTTTGCATTTTGCAGTAACTGTGTTTACTTTTATAATTATTTAAATATTAATAATAAACTATGTATCTATGTTTATTAGTATGATTTATATTATGTAACTGAGAATAAAACATCTAGAACATTCTGTTTTTGTATTTTTTGTAGTATTTTGCATATTTTGACATTTAATAAGAACTTTTTCCTCATTTTGCACAACATTTTATTTGAATATATGGGAATCATGAATATATTTGTTTTTCTTGGCTCTCTTTTCCACATTAGGTGGTAGTGTTTGATTTCGGTAGTGAAGTGTACGTGTGGCATGGTAAAGAGGTAACACTGGCACAGAGGAAGGTGGCGTTTCAGCTGGCCAAGCACCTTTGGAACGGGACGTTTGATTATACCAACTGTGACATCAACCCTCTGGATCCTGGAGGACACAACACGCTCATACCGAGGTGCACACATACGATTCAGAAGATTACTTAAATTGATTATATTAAGTTTCACACAGACCAATTATCCACTTAATTTGGAGAATCTCAATGTAAAGTTGTGTGTGTGTGGTTATTTTCTAGGAAAGGTCAAGGTCGCCCAGATTGGGCCATGTTTGGCAGACTGACCGAACATAATGAAACATGTCTTTTTAAAGAGAAGTTCCTGGACTGGAAAGATGTTTCTAGACTGTCACCTAAAAATGTCATCGAGCACCCCTTCCAGCAGAAGGTGGGTTTCTGTGTGTGTCAGTACCTGCTTTTGGTTCAATGAAAAGCTGCAAAACATAAAAGGAAAAATCCTTTGACTTTTTTTTATTAGGAATGTGAATTGTGAGCAATGTACTGATTCTGATAATGATTTCCCTTCATCATTGTTTGTAATTAGGAACCAATTATTGAATACCTACACTATTAGAAATGCAGAGTCAGAAAGATTTTTTTGAAAAGTCATTTCTGTTCTGTCCAAAGCTACATTTTTTTTTATCACAAATACAGTAAAAACAGTCATATTGAGAAATATTATTACAGTATAAAATAATTGCTTTATATTCGAATGTATTTTAAAATAAAATTTGTTCCTGTGATGTCAAAGCTGAATTTTCAGCATCATTTCTTGAAAACAGTTGTGCTGCTTAATGTTTTTTGTGGAAACTGTGATACATTTTTTCAAGATTCTTTGGTGAATAGAACATTTAAAAATAACAACATGTTTTAAAGGAATTACAAAAACATTTCTGTGTTTTCTGTCACTTTTGATTAATTTAATGTGTCTTTGTTAAAGTATTAATTTCTTACAAAAAGATTATACTGACCTCAATCTTTTGAACTTGTCTAAGAATTATAAGGATTATAATTAGAACGAGCCGTTTTAGGTAGGCGTGGTTGACTCTTAACTTTTATAAAGAATATCTCTTTGGATTTGAGACTTTAGTCTTTGCAACTTTACAGATCTTCTTTATGCACCAAGAGCTTGTAACACTCCAAAGAGAAAGGAAAAAATTTAAATCTCATCATATGACCCCTTTAAGCACAACTTTTCTTTCCTTTTTTTTTTCATTTTCTTATTCTCTTCTTTAAACCTCTCTTCTTCCCTTCTCAGGAGTCTCCGGGCACAGATTCCCATTCTGAGTGCCGGGCGTACAGCGCCTCTCTGATGCTTCCGGTCCTGCAGTCGCCCATCAGTACAGTTCTGGACGGTCAGAATGTGGGTCGAGGACACGGTCCGGTGGGGAACGGCTCGGACGACTGCATGCGCTCTCTGGAGATCAGCACGGTTTCTGTTGACGTCTGGCAAATCCTGGAGTTCGACTACAGCCGACTGCCCAAGCAGAGCATCGGCCAGTTTCACGAGGGAGATGCTTACGTAGTGAAATGGAAGTACATGGTGAGCGCAGCAGGTTAGTAACGGCACCGGGACAAATGAACTTGCCTGTCCATGGACATTGTGTAGTAAAATATGATTAAACATCAGAGAGTTTATCAGAATAATTTTAATACAATTTACACTTAGTTAGAAGACTGTTAGGACTGACATTATGCAGTAAGCGGGAAAATTCTATTGTAGAAGTATAGAATGCACCCTCTTTTCATATGCTGGTATAAAACTGTCAGTGCTCTCCTCTAAGAGTGTTATTGGATGTGTGTGTCCATGTGCAGTGGGCAGCAGGCAGAAGCTGGATCCGGTGCGCAGTGCAGGTCCCGGCAGGGAGAAGTGCTGCTATTTCTTCTGGCAGGGCAGCAACTCGACGGTCAGTGAGAAAGGAACATCTGCGCTCATGACTGTTGAACTGGATGAAGAGAGAGGAGCACAGGTAGGATGAGATACTGCTCTAAACGCACTTGACTGATTTCTGCTTCTCTCTTTCGCTCACTCAATGCTTCTGTGACTCATATTCAGATGCAGGTCCAGCAGGGGAAGGAGCCGCCCTGTTTCCTGCAGTGTTTCAATGGAGGGATGATTGTGCATTCTGGGAAGAGAGAAGAAGAAGAGGAGAACATTCAGAGTAAGAGGATCACATATTTGCAATGCCCCTGTTCAGTCCAAATTTTGGGTTTGTTAGGAACAGTGATGGGTTGTAAGTGATGTATGTAATCTGAATTATGTAATTAGATTCCAAAATTAAGTACTTGTTATTAGATTATACTATTTTCTTAAATAGTCATAAGACTACAGTTAAGTTTTTATTGATTAAATGATTGCATATTATTCACAAATTGCAGTACATTTTTATATAGAATGTGTTTTCTGTTATGAGCATGGGACAAAATAACCTCTATTCGAATCTGTGATAAGTTAAGTCAAAAGTAATCTAAAAGTAATCAAAAAAATATTTAGAATACATTTTCTAAAGTGTGTAATCTCATAGATTGTTAGTAATCTACTGGTTAGAAATGGCAATACTGCCTACTATTTTTGAAAGAAGCGTAGTATGCATTACGCATTCTATTCATAGTATGTGCATAGTATGTTGGTAATAGGATTACAAACATTTGCCAAAATGCGCAAATTTAACAAGAGCTCAGTATAACACACTGTATCCCACAATGCATGTAACCTTTCATTGCCTTAGGTCACATGGGTCCCAGAAGCAATTTTTATCTCTTTTATGATCATTCATTAAGATGTTCTTACAAAACATTGAATAAAAAAACAGCTATTTTTAATACATAATTTGTGTGTAATGAGCGCATGTGAGAACAGTATAGTAACATATTATTGTTTGAAGCATTTAGTCATGCAAATAGCTTCAAGTACATTTATTAAATTAGTGTACTGTGCAAGAAGCTGTATGTCAGCGTATTAATATTTGACTGTTTGTCCCCCTGTAATCTGTTTCAGATGACTGGCGTCTGTACTGTGTGCGAAGTGAGGTGTCTGTAGAGGGCCATCTGCTGGAAGTGGCTTGTCACTGCAGCAGTCTGCGATCACGCACATCAATAGTCCTTCTGAACATCAACAAAGCCCTCATCTACCTGTGGCACGGCTGCAAAACTCAAACCCACACACGGCATGTCGCTCGAACCGCCGCAGAGAAGATAAAAGAACAGTGAGTCATTCATGCATTTTTTAAGGATAACTTAGTTTCCTTGTAATTTACTTCTACACATTTTATATAGAATGTGTTTTCTGTTATAAGCATGGGACAAAATAACCTCTATTTGAATCTATGTGATAAGTTAAGTAAAAAGTAATCTAAACGTAATCAAAAAATATTTAGAATACATTTTCTAAAATGTGTAATCTCAGATTGTTAGTAATTTACTGGTTAGAAATGGCAATACTGCCTACTATTTTTGAAAGAAGCGTAGTATGCATTACGCATTCTATTCATAATATGTGCATAGTATGTTGGTAATAGGATTACAAACATTTGCCAAAATGCGCAAATTTAACAAGAGCTCATAGTGTAACACACTGTATCCCACAATGCATGTAACCTTTCATTGCCTTAGGTCACATGGGTCCCAGAAGCAATTTTATTTGATCTTTTATGATCATTCATTAAGATGTTCTTACAAAATATTGAATAAAAAAATGCAAAAACAGCTATTTTTAATACATAATTTGTGTGTAATGAGCGCATGTGATTAAAAAAAAAAACATTTTGCATTGTAAAAAAAAAAATTTTATGATTGAAATCTGACTCGTATTTGTGTTTCCTAGACGGCCACTGGAGGCGGGACTTCACAGCAGCTGCAGTGTGACCATTCATGAATGTGAGGAAGGTGGCGAGCCAGTGGAATTCTGGGAAGCGTTAGGCAGGAAGGACCGCAAGGCCTACGACTGCATGCTTCAAGGTACAACACACTGGAGGAGAGTGGGACTGCATGATTTTGGAAGTTTGTTGATGATCTTTCAGACAATAATGCATCTCTAACATACATAGGAAAAAAAAAATCTGCTACATAATAAAAAAAGAATCGTAAATCATAATTATGACATTATAAAAAATGTCATAATTATTTTATAAGTCAAAATTAACGTTTTTGTTTTAGTGTGACAAACATGACTTGTCATCTATTTTTAATACATAATTTGTGTGTAATGAGCGCATGTGAGAACAGTATAGTAACATGTTATTTGAAGCATTTAGTCATGCAAATAGCTTCAAGTACATTTATTAAATTAGTGTACTCTTCAAGAAGCTGTATGTCAGCATATTAATATTTGACTTGTTTGTCCCTCTGTAATCTGTTTCAGATGAATGGCGTCTGTACTGTGTGCGAAGTGAGGTGTCTGTAGAGGGCCATCTGCTGGAAGTGGCATGTCACTGCAGCAGTCTGCGATCACGCACATCAAAAGTCCTTCTGAACATCAACAAAGCCCTCATCTACCTGTGGCACGGCTGCAAAACTCAAACCCACACACGGCATGTCGCTCGAACCGCCGCAGAGAAGATAAAAGAACAGTGAGTGCATGCATTTTTTTAAGGATAACTTAGTTTCCTTGTAATTTACTTCTACACGTTTATACTTAGTACTATAAAACTGAGTTCAGAGCATACGCTAGCATTCAAAAGCTTGGGGGTCAGAAAGATTAAAAAAAAACATTTTGCATTGTAAAAAAAAAATGTTATGATTGAAATCTGACTTGTATTTGTGTTTCCTAGACGGCCACTGGAGGCGGGACTTCACAGCAGCTGCAGTGTGACCATTCATGAATGTGAGGAAGGTGGCGAGCCAGTGGAATTCTGGGAAGCGTTAGGCAGGAAGGACCGCAAGGCCTACGACTGCATGCTTCAAGGTACAACACACTGGAGGAGAGTGGGACTGCATGATTTTGGAAGTTTGTTGATGATCTTTCAGACAATAATGCATCTCTAACATACATAGGGAAAAAAATCTGCTACATAATAAAAAAGAAGTAAATCATAATTATGACATTATAAAAAATTTCATAATTATGACATAAAGTAGAAAAATGAAAATTAGCAATCAAAATTTGAGTCAAAATTAACGTTTTTGTTTTAGT